GTACATCATTTGTTGACAACCATGTCTCGTCAAAATCCTGGCATGTTATGTAGAAAACAGTTTTTTTTAAATAAATGGATATGATGATGCCAAATAGAATGTTGTCAATCAATACTGTCAAGCAATATTGTATATGTAGCATGATATTATATTTTTGGTTTACTATGAGAGGATAACACTGTCAAATCCCATTTTTTGACATATAATGCGAACCCACTTGGATAACTCGTTGAGAGAGACAAGGCATAAAAGGGTGTTGCTGAAAATTATATTAAGATCCCGTTTGTCACAGTTTTTTAAAATTTATTTTTTCTCAAACTCGTTTTTGACCTCATTTCATGTAAATCACAATTTTTATCATATTTAAACAAATATTCTATTATTATTTTTAATCAAAATTTACTAAAAAAAAAATTATTTTTAGCTAAAACAAATAGGGACTAAGTGTTACATGTTAGTTGTATTATTCTCAAAATATCTTTTCGACATAGAAATTATTAATTATCTTTAAAGTAGGTCGTTGTTATAAATCAATGGAAATATGCACGGCAATTCTTTGTAGTTGGTAGGGACATTAATATCCAATCATGGTATTGGTCATGCATTGTTACACCGAACCCATTTGTTATTTGTTCCAATTCATTGTCCTCTCAAATTTTGGCACCTTCGACTCTGAATTGAGTGGTGGACGGATCTACTCGACATTCGAAACATCATGACTTGAATAGATCAGGTTTCGAGGTATTATAATTTGAATGGACAGTTCTACTATGTGCTACATATAAGATAGTCCCATCGAAGAATGACAAACTCAACAATCAACAATTTCATTCATCTTAAAATAATCTCGACTTGAAGCAATATTACTTGGTTTGAAAGCAAAAAACTAATTAACTTGTGAAACATATGACTTACTTTATTTGTTTGCACATTCGTAGATCCAAAACGCGTTGTTTTCTAATGCAAAAAATGGTTGGAGGATCTCAATGCATATATACATATAATCTGCGAAATGATTTATTAAGTACAGTCATTTAGTTTATGTTACGTAATAGGGACGAGACACATTAATTAGTTGGCAGATAAGCGTATGATTAGTACTAGAAATTAAAATTGATTTATTGAATTGATGTACTGCGTCACTGTCAAGCAACTATACTTATCTATAGATGGAATAAAGAGAAGAAGTCAGTTCCTATCCCACGTCGTCTACCAAATTCTGATTCTCTTATCTCTTTAAAAAAATTGGAAATATAGCAAAAACGCCCCCAAGCTTTCTCACGTTTTTCACTTTGATTACGAACATTTAAAACGTAGCATTGCATCCTCAACCTTTTATTTTGATAGCACTAAGGTCCTTGTTGGATGATCTACCGGTGTCTTTATTTATATATTTTATTAACTCAACATTTTTATTCAAAAACTAATACGCCCATCACCTTTTGTCCTATTTGATTTATGTAAAAATTAGATTTTCAGTAAATTTTGATATAAGTTAATGGAATATGTGGTTGAAAAGTTGTGGATTCCATGAAATGTATTGTGATTAAAATTAATTGTGGATTTTGACTTATATTTTAATCAGATTTTTAACTAAACCAAAACATGAAATATTGCTGGGCAAAATATGCGCAGCAAATACGGAAAATGTAAAGATGAGCCAGAAGAGAAAAGATGCCAAAAATCAACGACCAACATGAGAAAACTTTATTAGCTGAGAAACCTCACAATACAATAATTTTCCCTCTCTCACAAATACTGTTATGAATATTGGGCCTAACTCCACCTAATAAAACCGGCTTATTACGGGAGGATTGCCCTCACCTTATTAAGTGAATCACTTATATTTTCCCAAACAATGTGGGATTCTAGTACGCCCCAGGGAGGATTGCCCTCACCTTATTAAGTGGATCATTTATATTTTCCCAAGCAATGTGGGATTCTAATACGCCCCCTCACGCACAGCGTGGACCATGCCAAACAACTGTGAACAAATCGATATTGGGTGGCACCCAACATTGCATAATTGGGCATAGCTCCGATACTATGTTACGAATATTGAGCCTAACTCCACCTAATAAAACCGGCTTATTAGGGGAGGATTGCCCTCACCTTATTAAGTGGATCATTTATATTTTCCCAAATAATGTGGGATTCTAGTAAATACTATACAAAACTAGAACACCTAAAATATGACGTTAGCAAGCTCTTACGAGTTTTTCCTCTCTCTCTCTCACACACACCTTAGCTATATGAAAATTTATCTCTGCTGCTGAATTCTTGGCGCCAAGCACACCCATCAATGTATGCCATGGGTTGGTATCTATAGAAAAGTCCATTTCCTTTTCCTATTTGAAAATTCGTAGTTTACTAGCTAAGTTCGACCTTACGTGCGGAATAATACAATTAACAAGCGACAAATCACTTTTAATTGTTTCTAGATGATTAAGCATGCAATTCAATTATCCTAAGTTGAATTGCCACAATTTGTAATATGGAAAACAATAAATAATGAACACCGATATGATGACGGAGAAACTCAATTGGGTAAAAACTCCGAGACCAAGTTAGTTACCTCCACTATAAACAATGTGAGTTACAGTTCGTTTCCAGCCTAACAACTTCCACTAGTTTCCCTCTGTTGTAATTCCTGTAATCTCCAATCTCTGATGTTCCTCCAGACTCATGATTTGCTACCGTAGATACTGTCTAGCCAACCTGCTAAATCTCCCTATCTACCTCTCGTAGCTTCCAAGATCTGCTGTAAATTCCAGTCTCACAAACTTCTGCAATTATCTCTTCCTAGTGGATACCCAGGAATCACCTATTCCCGTTATTCTTCATGTGCTTGTAGTCCAACCTTTCTCAACCTCCAGAAACTTCTGAAATCCAACTGAGAAAGTACATTCCTCGAAGTGTTAAGGAAGTAAGATGTTTTGGATTCTTCAATTTGATGTTTTCCCAAAACGTGGTTGCCGGATCTCAAGAATGATTTTGATGAATCAATTAATGAATTGTGTTCTTGGATCTTCAAACAATGATATGAATGTATATTGCAATGATAGCACAATGAAGCAACCACCAAATTTCATCCCAGACATCTGTATTTATAGTTGGGGACGCTTAGGTGTTATGAGCCGTGTAAAACTCTTCAAAATCGTGAATTAGGTCTGGTCGCATAAATATGTCGCTCGAGCTAGGGGGACATGTCGCTCGAGTGAATGGTCTGTCGCTCGAGCAACGCCTGGGCGATAAGCGAGCGATAATGGTTCTGTTTCTGTCGCTTGAACGATGGCCAGGCGTGAAGCTAGCGAAATTTTGGCTCTGCTTTTTCCTGGTTTCCAAACTCGAACTCGAACCCGAACCCTAAGCTACCTAACTCAACTATACAAAATTGTACTTNTTTCCTGAAATAAAAAACTGAATACCCAGTGTAAAAGCAGGTGATACAGGAAACCAAAAACTCATGAACACAAATAAACATGCTAGTTTGAGACATGACATTAATGCCAATCAAAACACCAACCGAAACATTAACATTACAAAACATCAAAACTCAAACAGTTGTACATATGATATGCAATGCAGATGCCAATGCACATTCTCCCCCTTACTGCAAACTCTCAATGTTTTTTATGCAATAGGCAAATGAGATTATATCTCACCCCAATGCTCCCTTGACATAAATTGCAGATGCAAATCAAATTTCAATTTCATTAAATGCTCCCTCTGTGTTATTCACTTTCCCCTTTTTTGTCATAAATGACTAAAGGTGCAATTTCAATTTCAATCTTAAACATGAATAAATAACACTCCAAAAAGCAGTTGATAACATGCAAAAGCATAACTGACAAGTAGTAAACCTCCCCACACACTCAATTTAAGTCAGAATGGAGTAAATTATATAAGTGACTCATGTGTGTAAAGTGTCACTAATCCTTTGTAAGCAGGACTCCAAACTTTAATTTTGTGAGAAAGGACCTGCTAAATATCACTGCTAATAAGTGTATTCCTTTACTTATGAAAGTCAAACCATTTAAAGCACATTAGGACCTGCAAATAAAAGCTCATTTTGTATTTGATATTTTCTTTTCTCCCCCTGACTTTGAGCATATTTTATTTTCACATCAATCAATATTTTAAGCTCATATATTTTTTTCATCTTAAGTGCAAGTTCTTCTTCATTAAGCGACTAAATTGACATCTGTAATTAGCTTTAGACCGGTTAACTCAAGTCAGTTGACTATAGGCATCAGGTTATGAGAAATCCCGCAAGCTTAATTGCTCGAGTCAAATAGGCTTTGAAAAAGAACATAAGATATTGAACATTTTATTACTGGGGATAAATTTGAGCTTAGGTCTAATAAATATGGTCAATTCATGTTCAAAGTCACTTTATTAACATGTGACTGCCATCCCAAATCTCACACACGCGGTAGAGTACCACTAACAAAATCATAGTATGTGCAGTGCAAATGGTACATGAAGACACATATACTAAGTACTCCATAATAACCCAAGCAAGTAATGGAAACTATGCTACAGCTTATCAATTATGTCCATACATGATCACAACATGCAAGTTTAAAAAAGTCGTATATTATGCTGTAATAAAGTTACCATTCTTTTTTTTTTTTTTTTTTAATTTTTGTTGTTTTTATTTTTAAAGCATGAATGTATCAAGCACAAAAAAAATGTCAAACACCAAAATAAAAATAAAAATGCATGAGTTTTCTACCTAAAAAACAAATAAATATGATGCATGCATAAATAAATGTCAAATAATGATAAAGTACGAGCATACACCAAAAATACCTAATCAGTTAGGTATGCAAATACTCTTACCTTTAAGAGTATCGTGATCTATTTCACAATTTTTTCAGATCACTTTTCTTCACCCGAACTTGCCTAGTGACAGGAATATTTCCGGTCGTCTGTATCATTAATGTGGCCAGTTTACTTACCTGATTAGTAAGGAAGTTAATCTGACCAACATAATCCTGATACTTATTTCTATTTAAGTCCCGATTTCTATTCTTGTTCAAGAAATGATAACACTTAGGCTTTATGTGTCCTAACTCACCACATTGAAAATATGTAGGGATAAATCTAGGACCAATGTTATGTGGACGATGATTTCTATTCCTAGGTCGACGGGTCCTACTCTGTCTAACAAATCTCTTATCCTTAAAATCGGGGTTAGGCACATGTTTAGGCGAGTCAGTAGCAGGGATAAGCATGGTATTTGAAGTACTAGCATCGTTTTCCTTAAAACCTAGACCTCCCTTATTTTTAGCCGGCTTGCCCATTCCTAAAATGTTATCTAACTTTTCAGAACCACTAGAGAAGGCAAGCAATTGAGACTTAGAATATTCTAGATCGCACAGAAGGTTCTTAACTTGGATGTCTAAGGTCTCTTTCTCAATGGTCAACTCGCTGACTCTTCTAGAGGACTTCTCAAGCTCACTGGTGAGGTTCTTAGCCCGAGTCTCTAAAGTTTCATTCATGGATTTCACTTCACTCGGGATCGAGGTAGATTCCTTAATGTGCGCTACGAACTCTCATTTTCCAATTCAAGTTCCTTATTCTTTGCACTCAAGGCTTTGTTTAGTAAGAATCTTAAGACTCTCCTCATATAGAGATGTCAATGGGCCGAGTCGAGCNACTTCTAAAGGTCACTGCTGAGGTTCTTGGCCTGAGTCTCTAAGGTTTCATTCATGGATTCTTCATCAGAATCCTCACCACTACTTACGGTCTCGGCCTTCTCACTCTCCTTATCAGATTCATTCCTAATTCTAGTAGTAAAAGTAATATACTTTCAACTTTCCTCACGAGTGGATTCCTCAATCTAATTGTCCGAGTTAGACTCGTCATCAGTGAGAGTAGCATTCATAGCCTTATCCTAATTTCTCCTAATGCTAGGGCACTCACTTCTAACACGACCAAAACCTTGACAATTATGGCATCTAACAGATTTAGAGCTCTTTATAGACTCACTTGGACTACTTCTATGTCTCTCTTTAGGTTTCTGTTTATCCCTAAACATTTTTCGAAATTTCTTAGCAAGGTAAGCTAACTTTTCATCATTAGGAGAATCTAAATCTGAGGACTCCCTATGACTATTCCTCATAGTGTTTAAGGCCATGGATTTATCGTTTGTCGGTTTAGCTAATGTCAACTCATAAGTTTGGAGAGATCCAACCAGCTCTTCCACCTTAATAGAGTCAATATCCTTACTCTCCTCAATAGTAGTGATTTTAGGCATAAACCTTTCAGGTAAGGATCTAACTCCGGGATTCTCTCACCTAGGTTGAAACTAGAATTCACTATGTCGTTTAAGCTCGCATTTAAGGCATCAAACGTCTCATCTTCTCTCATTCTAATCTCTCAAACCTAACTGTCAACATTTGTAACTTAGAGGTCTTAACGGCTTGAGTTCCCTCATGTGTGGTCTGTAGAATATCCCAAACCTCTTTGGCTATCTCACACATGGACACTCGCCTAAATTCTTCAGGGGACACTACCATAAATATGGCATGTAAGGCTTTGCTATTCCAATTACACTCATCTAAGTTTGTCCTAGTCCAAGTAGCAATGGGAGTCGGGGTCACTACGTTGTCTACAGTTGATGATCCCCGTGAGGTTGGTATTACCACACTCAACCAAATCCGTTCATACATACATTTTAAGAACGCTCTCATCTTAACTTTCCAATAGGCATAGTATTGCCATCAAAGTATGGAGGGGCGGACAATGAACTACTCATCTAGACATATTAAGGTCAGGAATCGAAATAAGGCTCTGATATCAATTGAAAATTCGTAGTTTACTAGCTAAGTTCGATCTTACGTGTGGAATAACACAATTAACAAGCAACAAGTCACTTTTAATTATTTCTAGATGATTAAGCATGCAATTTAATTATCCTGAGTTGAATTGCCACAGTTTGTAATATGGAAAACAATAAATAATGAACACCGATATGATGACGGAGAAACCCAACTGGGTAAAAACTCCGGGACCAAACCAGTTATCTTCACTAAAGACAATGTGAGTTACAATTCGTTTCTAGCTTAGCAACTTCTACTAGTTCCCGTTGTTGTAATTCCTGTAATCTCCAAGATTTGCTGTTCCTCCAGACTCATGATCTACTATCGTAGATACTGTCTAGCCAACCTGCTAGATCTCCCTATCTACCTCATGTAGCTTTCAAGATCTGCTGTAAATTCCAGTCACACAAACTTCTGCAATTGTCTCTTCCAAGTGGATACCCAGGAATCACCTATTCCCGTTCTTCTTCATGCGCTTGTAGTCCAACCTCTCTCAACCTCCAGAAACTTCTGAAGTCCAACTGAGAAAGTACATTCCTCGAAGTGTTAAGGAAGTCAGGTGTTTTGGATTCTTCAATTTAATGTTTTCCCAAAACTTGGTTGCCGGATCTCAAGAATGATTTTGATGAATCAATCAATGAATTGTGTTCTTGGATCTTCAAACAATGCTATGAATGTATACTGCAATGATAGCACAATGAAGCAACCATCAAATTTCGTCCCAAACATCTGTATTTATAGTTGCGGATGCTAAGGTGTTATGGGCCGTGTAAAACTCTTCAAAATCGTGAATTAGGTTTGGCCGCAAAAATATGTCGCTCAAGCTAGGGGGACATGTTACTCGAGCGAAGGGTCTGTCGCTCGAGCGAAACCTGGGCGAGAAGCGAGCGACAATGGTTCTATTTCTGTCGCTTGAGCGATGGCCAGACGTGAAGCTAGCGAAATTCCGACCCCGCTTTTTCCTGGTTTCCAAACTCGAACTCGAACCATAGGCTACCTAACTCAACTATACAAAATTGCACTTCACTCCTTGACTATTACACATGTTCAATTAAGTCCTATTTGTTCACAGAATTGCCAATTACAATTTTGAACCTAACACTATTTACATATGAAGCAATTCTCTCAATAACGTTAGGAGTTCTTTACTTCACAAAATGTATTTCTAAGTAATTGCCCCATAAATCCTATATTTATCTATATGAAGAAGAAATCATGTAACAAAGAGGATTCTTATTTGTTCAAATGATACTTCGAACTAGAAACGAGCATGAAGAAAAAATCTCTTTTCATTCGAAAACTAATCATTAATTAATTGGGACTTTAATTCAGCTAATACTTTGACTCCTAATTTAATTATACTATTTTGAATCAATTCCAACAATCTCCACCTTAACTCAAATTTCTAAAATCACAACATACATTGACACATATCATTGCACACAATTCTTGGACCAGTTGCAGTAGACAGCCAAATTCAAGGACTCGTCAAATCTAACTTTACAATATGGCTTCTTCATACTATAATCTTCAATTTTCTTTTTATTGGCTACAGAGCCTGTCTTGACCACTTCACAATATTTGACAATATCAGAACGCTGTTTTATTGCATGATTCAATCACTACATCTCCATCTCTGTGTTAAGCAATCAGTGTAACTCCATCTCCATAACTATATCCCCAACGTGACTCGATTACCACCCCAACTTCACTTTGGTGACAGTCCATCGCTACAGCTCCTCCTTAAACTTGGAACTTTCCAATCAAGAATTTATCTAATGGTCGAAAACCTCAACTAATCCGGACAATAGCGACAAGTCTAAAACTTCAAATAGTCTGTAAAGACGTTCAAAATGAACCAAACATGTTGTTTTACTTATAATTTCAGCCTCATGAATATTATTTGGCTTGAAAAACCTTAATTCATGATATTTTTTCTTTTTTTCGAATATGCACTTTAGTCTCTTGAGTTTACCACTTGCAAATTGATCCCCAATCTTGAGAAATTTGCAATAATGTTTCTTAATCTCAAATAATAACATATAGTCATCCTCAAAACTATACTGCATGGATGAAAATAATAATCATTCCATTTTTAATTAAGTTGTAGCTTAATTCTTAAGCTTTTCACATAATGCAATTAAGTCCTTGCATTTCGATCCTCAACTAAATCATATTATATCTAATAACCTTATTTTCATCATTAATTCAATTAAATCTTATTCCTCAAAATCTCTGTTTCGGTCCTGAATTGAAATAATTTTAATTTGATATCAAGTTCTCAAACTTTGCACTTAAGTCCCGAAGAAAATTCAAGGCATTACACGAGGATATCTTTGAAACTTGGAACGTTACAGTTAGCCTCAACACGATTTGACTCAATTAAGAATCCTTTTGGTACAGATTAAAATTCAGATTTTAATTTAAATCAAAGTCAACAATTAATTTTAACCACATATCTCATAGGTCCCATAACTACATATTTTATCAACTTTTATCAAAATCTACTATAAATCTGATTTTAATCCCCACCAATCATGAGCTAATTTTAAGCATATTAAACTATGCATTGCATGTTAAATGATTATACTAACTTCCTATGTACTATCGAAGTATGGAGTAGGTTGTGATTAGGAACGACAAGGGGTTGGTATGGGATGGATATGTCATTTTCACCCCGTCCTATTGAGTATTTTTGTCATTTTGTCCAGTCTCCATATCCGTTTAATGCAGGACGGGGCAGGATCGGGGTGGGGCGGCATGGGTCCCTTGCCCCATTTATTTTTATAACTTTAATTAATAAATATTATTATTATTATTTTTCCAACTTGTTAAGAACAATTTATTTTTTTCTTTAAAAATGATGGTAAATCTTTTATTTTTCGTTTGATAAAAAATTTAAATTTGAAATTAAGTTTAAACGGGCATGTAGGGGGGGAGCTATGCATCCCGTTCCCGTCCCGTTTACCCGGTTAGACAGGCAATCCTGGTCTCATTCGGGGCGGGGTCTCGTGGGTATCTGGTTGAATGAATTTTTTTGCCATTCCTAGTTGTGATTATTAGACTATGTCAAAACTTAGTTCCAATTTTTTGTCAATATTATTAATGCGGGTTTGGTTTTTATGAGTTTCAAATAATCATTTTGATTGGTCTCTCTCTTTTGCATTAGATTTATAATTCGATTAATGCATAGACAATGACATAGGAGTATGTTACAATTCTAGCCTTGAAAATTAGTTTTATTTCATTGTGTAACATTTATACTCATTTAATTAAACATAAGTGCTGATGATATAAATAAGTAAATAACTTCTTTAATATCTAGATAAATTTAAACGTTTAAATAAAGTAATTAAATAAAGTATTATTATTATTATTATTATTATTATTATTATTATTATTATTATTATTATTATTATTATTATTATTATTATTATTGCTTCTGTTGTTCTTATTATTTAGCGTCATCGTCTAATGGGCCAAATCATGTTGTCGTGACAATGTAACCTATCATTTTTTATAAGAGCTCATGTCCACAATTCTGAAATATAAAAAATCAGTGTAGTTAATTATTTGCCAACCTAATAAATAAGATTTTTTTCCCCAAGTGTTTGACATCTCTCTCTGTCAGTGACGGATTCAGAAATTCAAGTGAGCACAGATGATCGCCTAGCAGC